AAAACTTGAATCGATCGGGCTTCGAAATACAAAAACTCAAGTCCGAGTCCGAGTCCTTTAAAAAAATCTCCAGTCCGAGTCCAAGTCCGAGTCCGCCAAAAAATCTTCCAGTCCGGACTCGAGTCCGGACTCGGACTCGCCCATGCCTGACCGCATCCGTATCCTACTCTTCTATATGCTGTACATAGTTTAGGGATGAGAGCATTTTGAGGGTTTCGCTATATTACGGTGTCCGTATCCTATCCTTATATGTTTGTTGTATATAGTTGAGGGATATGAGGATTTTGGGGGTTTTGCTGTTTTACGGTATCCGTACGAGACGCTTATCTATATGTTCGATATAGTTGACGGATATGAGAATTTTCAGGGTTTTCCTGTAAAACGGTATCTGTATCGTACTCTTATCTGTATGTTATATGCTGTATATAGTGGGGTGATATGAGGATTTTGTGGGTTTTGGTTTGTTACGGTATGCGTACCATACTCTTATCTGCATTTGGTATGTGGTTGAAAATATGAGGATTCTGAGAGCTTTGCTGTAATGATATGGCGTGCGTAGTCGGGTATAGGGAATCGGAATGAGAGGTCTGTGGGAGCGAATAAATTTTGTTTTCACCGGAAGAAAATCCTATCATGTGTGTAGCCAACTTTAAAGGTAAAGTCGCGTTTCGCCAATTCAACTTTCGCCAATAGACATTCGCCATATTGGCGACTGGCGAATGTCCACACGACATCCGCCAGATTGACATTCGCCAGTACCCCTACGACATTTGCCATAATTAGCGAATGTCTCGGCGACAGTCGCCAGTACCTGTCCTCAGTATTCATTGGAATGTGCCTGCGTTTTTCTGCTCTAAATAGTTCCTAATATCAAGTTTTAAGATACCTCAACTTTCATGTATGATTTTCGAAATTTCAATGGTTTTTTTCTTGTGATAAATTCTGAATACTTCTCCCTTGTCTTCTCATTCACATTCTAGGCAAAGGGATAGTTCTTTATTCGTATATTTAGTTAGACCATAATCCATTCTTTTTCTCTTTGTGTTCGTCTGACATTTCATATACAGGCAGACAGATAGAACGATAGATATATGTTTCGCCAACGGATATCGCCATACTGGCGATTGGCGAATGTCCGCACGACATTCGCCAATTATGGTGAATGTCCATCCACTTTAAACAGTGCGGAAACGGGCATGAGACGCCTGTGGGCGCGATCCTGTTGGCTGAAATTTAGCTTTCACCCTGATCGGATGAAAATACTATGGTGTACCACAAAGAGTGCTGACATGGCCATGACAGACCTACAGGCGCGATCCTGGCTGAAATTTTCTTTTCAGCTTGTTTAGGTATTGTGTGACGCTAAAGAGTGCGGCCATGGTCGTGAGTGGCCTGTGCACACGATCCTATTGCCCCAAATACCGACAAAGATACCGTATTACCGTAAAACCCTCAAAATCCTCATATCCCTCAACTAAGTAGAAAATACAGATAAGAGTACGATACGGATACCGTAATACAGCAAAACCCTCAAAATCCTTATATCCCTCAACTATATACACGACACAGAGAAGAGTACGGTACGGATACTGTAATACAGCAAAACCGTCAAATTATGTAATGCAAATATATGTATAAGTTTCGTGTATAAATAACATTTCTCTTTATAGCTCTTTGTACATTTTTCTGGTGATGAATCAGACTGTTCGAAGCCTTAAAATAAAGTAAATATTAAAAATCACTATATAAAAGGTGGCCCAGAAGTCCTGTCTCATTCAATATTTTCTCAATATCTCGGTCAAGGTTGATCGACAAGCTTCAGTCTTTTTACTAAAAGAAACCTCAATCAATTTTCTCCACAAAACATATTGAACATTTCTTTATATACTAAGTTATAAGGATAAAAAAATATAAAAGAAATACGGGAAAGTTTCAATATCGATTACTTTCAAACCTAAAGCTCAACCAAAAAATATTTATTTTGAACACGGTGCTATGCATCAAAGTGGAATCGAAATGTATTTTCTGGAGCTCCAGAGTATCAGCTTGCTTTTCTTGGATCATAAGTTCGCTACAAACCTGTTTTCCTGCTACGAAGAAAGATTTTACTAAAAGTAAAAAAAAGGGAAAATTTGTTTCGTTCGCCTTGGCACAGGAAACGGAACGGGGCTATTTGGCTTTCTCTGTTCGGATGTAACAAAAAACCTATTTTGCTTCAAGGTAAACTAGATCTAAAGTCATAATATGTGATTTGGACCAAATCAGCCGTGATGAAACGACTGATGAAGTTTATGGGATTAAATCTACAGTTATGCGTTATATTAAGTCGAAAATAAATCATGTAACCCAAGCAGACAAAATTCGAAAAAAACGCTACTTTAACGCGTAAAATGTGCTCGTTTTGTTGAAAACAGCGCATTTTATGCGTTAAAATAGCGTTCTTTTCGAATTTTGTATGATAGGGAAGAGACAGAAGGGTAGCGGCGTAAGAGCTGGTGGGAGTGAGAAAACTATTGAGACCCGCTCACCCACACCATTTGAGTTTGCCATATAATTCTGCCGTTTTTTATTTAGTTTACTCCACGAATTTCACGGTCAGGGAAACATTTGCGGATGCGTATGATGAAACAGTACGTCCTCTTATGGACAAAATTGATCAAGCACGAGCATTACCAGCAACGAATAGTCATGGTGTTATTTTGCCAAATGTTGTTGTTGTTGGTGATCAGTCTAGTGGTAAATCAACATTACTGGAAGCATTATCATTAGTTGAACTTCCAAAAGGTACTGGTATTGTTACTAGATGTCCATTAGTGTTAAGATTACGTAAATCCACTAAGCGAGTTGTGTACCGTGTATATGAAGGTAATCGCAAAGTTCCGTTGGATGAAGCAAACTTGAATATACCACGATATATTGAAGAAGAAACCAAGCAGTTAGTCGGCAGTCAAAAGAATTGTTACGCCCCGTAATCACCCAGCGAGATGTTATATCACGACAGAACGGAAAAAGACCACTGCCCGACTGAGGAATTGAACCCCAGACCTTCCGATTACCGGTCGGACGTACTGCCATTACACT